ATCAATAGCCTTTTGTAATCCCTTCAGTCTTTTTTATTACCTCCTTCTTGAACTCAGAGTCTAGTGGACCAGAGCGTTCTGTTTTATTGTTCTTTCAGGAGATTTTCTTGTTATTTTAACACATTATTGACCAGAGATGTATTAATGTCTTTTGGTGCCTGATCATTATTGACTGAAAATGTATGTGACTTACATAACACATACCTGGCCAAAGGTATTTGTTTCTGCAAAAACCCCCCAGTCAATAATGGGAGTAGTTCCTCTGCTTTTACATTTCACTTAAAATTCTCCAACTCTGATTTGAAGAGAAATTTATCTACTGTGGTGTTGAAGGGCTACTTCTATGTGGGAGTGTCCCTATGTAGCCTCAGTCTAATATTTCTGGTGTGAGGACTGTTTTTAGTATGGATGCCTGCCACATATTTCTCAATGTGTGCTGAACGATATCCCCTTGGTAGGTGGTGTGATTGGTATTATGGTGACCAGAGCCTGTACTGCATGTCCAGCAGGGCCTTCTCTTGCCTCTGTGGTTGTTACAGCCCTCTCTGGGGTGGGTCCCCTGCCCAGTTGTTGGAGTAAAAGCCCCAGATCCATTTCTGAGCTGTGATGTGAGGTAGGTGGGACTGGAGTTCTCCCGCCAAAAGAAAAGCCGCTGAGTACTCCTCCAAGGAGCTGTCCAGTGGGAGGTGCTCCATGGCATTCTCTGCCAGCTGTTGTGCAGGCCCACACAGTACAATATTGTTGGAACTGCCCTCAGCCCCATGTCAGCTGTGAGAATGCAACCTGCCAGGTGTACCTGAGGCCCTGTGCTCACAAAGCTACTAGCGCAGATTCTCCAGAGTCACTTACGGGCACTGTGGTGGTCACACACCTGGACCCGCCATGGGAGCTAGTTAGCTCAGGCCCTGGCCCTGCAGCCACACATATGGGGCCCACTAAGCCAGCAGCTATTAATGCTGGACCCACATTACCTGTAGGAGCACTAGATACCTGCTCAGGGGCCCCACAGGCAGTGAGGTTACAAAGCCACCTGCAAGCAGTATAAATCTACTTAAGTCACATGGCTGAGATTTCAGTCCTGCCTCCGCATGTGGGCAACCCACCAGCACTTGCACACTCGTAGAGGTAGTGCCATGCCCACTCTAAGCACTTCACAGAATGCGGCTGCTATGGCAGGACCCCACCTCTCCCGTGGTGTGCACATTAACAGTGGGGCTTCTGTGACGACCTGGACTCTGTCCTGCACACATCCCATTGCAGCCTGGACCACATTCCAGCCTCTTCGGGCTGTCCGTGCACCCAGCCTCAGTCCTCTCTCCAGGTCTGTCTGCTGAAGCCCAGGTTTTCAGCACCAGTCCCCACACATTCCAGGAGATATGTATCTTGGGTTGCAGAATGCAGCAAGGTGGCCAGGACCAAGTGTGGTGGTCTCTCTCTCTTCTGCCTGCTGCAAGCCAACTGCTGCACACGCCTCTGAGTTTCTGAAGCTCCCTGTCCTGGCTCATCACTCAGCTGATGAAGGGGGTGCCCAGGGTGAGGGAACCTTTCCTCTTTCACAGCTCCCTCCAAGGGGTGAAGGTTCTGTTAGGTAGTTAGAATAGGAAACAGGAGTCCAGAATGGCAGTGGCTAAGACAAGGAAAGGGAAAGCCTGTGAAAATAAAACAAAGGAAGGTCCGAGGACCAGAGTGAGGATCTCAGGTGGGACAAACAGTACTCCTGGCTAGCCCAGTTTACATAGAGCAAGCCCAGGGGGAAGAAAAAAACATAAAAAGAGGAGCCAAAGGGCTGGGGGGAGGGGTCCTCTCTCTCCTACGCACGCACACTCTCTGTCTCTCTCTCCCTTCATCTTTTGGATCGGCATGCCCTCACACCTCTAGGATGTATTTTCTTTATTTTCTAAATAAAACGGAGGGAGCTATAACACTGTCTGAGAGCTGTGACGTGCCAAGGGCTTTAACGTCCGTCGCTTCAAATTTTTGTTGAGATGAGACAGAACCGAGGAGATTATACTCCCCTGACAGTTCCATCCATCCTGGTTCTTACTTTGTTTCCTGTTTCATCCTACCCAGTTACATGGTGATCTTTCCTGCAACTTGTTATGAGATTTTCTACCAGCATTCAGTAGGTAATCTGTGAGAATTATGCCATATGTAGATGTATTTTTGATGTATTTGTGGGAGAAGGTAAGCTCCATATCATTCTATTTGATAGAATATCTGTCAAATATCTATCTATTGATCTTTCTGATGCCTATTTTTTATTGGAATATAATTTATTTATAATGTTGTGTTAGTTTCTGCTGTATAGCAAAGTGAATCAGCTATATGTATACATACAACTCCTCCCTCTTGAGCCTCTCTTCCACTTCCCTGACCCCATCTAACCCATCTGGGTCATTACAGAGCACCAAGCTGAACTCCCTGGCTAACACCACAGGATCCCACTCTGTTTTATACATCAGTTCAGTTCAGTCACTCAGTCATGTCCAACTCTTTGCGACTCCATGGACTGCGGCATGCCAGGTTTCCCTGTCCATCACCAACTTCCAGAGCTTACTCAAACTCATGTCCATCATGTCGGTGATGCCATCTAACCATCTCATCCTCTGTTGCCCTCTTCTCCTCCTGCCTTCAATCTTTCCCAGCATCAGGGTCTTTTCAGATGAGTCAGTTCTTCACATCAGGTGGCCAAAGTATTGGAGCTTCAGCATCTGTCCTTCCAATGAATATTCAGGACTGATTTCCTTTAGGATTAACTGGTTGATCTCCTTGCACTCTAAGGGACTCTTAAGAGTCTTCTCTAACACCACAGTTCAAGCATCAATTCTTCGGTGCTCAGCTTTCTTTATCGTCCAACTCTCACATCTAGACATGACTACTGGAAAAACCATAGCTTTGACTAGACAGACCTTTGCCAGCAAAGTACTGTCTTTATTTTTTAATATGCTGTGTAAGTTTTTCATAACTTTTCTTCCAAGGAGCAAGCATCTTTTAATTTCATGGCTGTAGTCACCATCTGCAGTGATATTAAATCCAAGAAAATAAGGTCTGTCACTGTTTCTATTGTTTCCCCATCTGTTTGCCTTGAAGTGATGGGACCAGATGCCATGATCTTCATTTTTTGAATGCTGAGTTTTAAGTCAGCTTTTTCACTCTCCTCTTTCACTTTCATCAAGAGGCTCTTTAGTTCTTCTTCACTTTCTGCCATAAGGGTCGTGTAATCTGCATATCTGAGGTTATTGATATTTCTCCCAGCAATCTTGATTCCAGCTTGTGCTTCATCCAGTCTGGCATTTCACATGATGTACACTGCATGTAAGTTTTACACATGGTAGTGTATTTATGTCAAACTTAGTCTCCCAGTTCATCCCACCCTCTCCCTTTTCTCTCATGTCCACACGTCTTTTCTGTCTGCATCTCTATCCCTGCCCTAAAACTAGGTTCATCTGTACCATTTTTTTAGATTCCACATACATGCATTAATGTATATTTGTTTTTCTCTGACTTTTTTCTGTGTGACAGACTCTACGTCCATTCACATCTCTACAAATGATCCAATTTCTTTCCTTTTTATGGCTGAGTAATATTCCATTGTATATATGTACCATATCTTTTTTATCCATTCATGGGTATTTAGGAAGGACATTTAGGTTGCTTCCATGTCCTGGCTCTAGTAGATAGTGCTGCAGTGAACACTGGGGTACATGTGTCTTTTTTACATTATGGTTTTCTCAGGTTATATACCCACTAGTGGGATTGCTGGGTCATAGAGTAGTTCTATTTTTAATTTGCCAGGAACCTACGTATTAATTCTCCATAGTGGCTGCATCAATTTACATCCCCACCAACAGTGCAAGAGGGTTCCCTTTTCTCCACACCCTCTCCAGCATTTACTACTTGTGTATTTTTTTTTTTTTTGATCATGGCCATTCTGATTGGCATGAGATGGTACCTCATTATAATTTTGATTTGTATTTCTCTAATTAGTGATGTGTTGAGCATCTTTTCATGTGCCTCTTGGCCATCTGTATGTCTTCTTTGGAGAAATGTGTGTTTAGGTCTTTACCCTTTTCTTTTTTTTTAATTGGGTTGTTTTTCTGATATTGAGCTCATGAGCTGCTTGTGTATTTTGGAGATTAATCCTTTACTGCTTCATTTGCACATATGTTCTTCCATTCTGAGGGTTGTCTTTTTGTCTTGCTGTGCAACAACTTTGGAGTTTAATTAGGTCCTATTTGTTTTTATTTTCATTACTCTGGGAGGTGGATCCAAAAAGGTGATTGATTTATATAAGAGTATTTTTCCTGTATTTTCCTGTAAGAACTTTATTGTTGGGGTCCTTTAATAGATCAGAACTTGGTGGTCCAGAGTCAACGATAAGAAAGTGAAAGAGAAAGAAGCTAGTATTCCCTGGGTTATGCAGAGAACCAATAAAGCCCTAAGACAGGGCTTGTTATCGCTCACGGAGGCACAGGACGCCCTCTCAAAGAGGTCTTGAAAGCCCAGGTAGGAGAGTGAGCTCGGCAGGTTTCCATGCTCCAGAGAATTAACTGGAGGGAAAGAGAGAGAGAGAGAGACACGGGGACCCAAGTCTCTGGTGGAGCAAGGGTGCTTTAATGATCTTTTTGTGAGTATACATAGGCTGTTGTACAAGGAATTTCTTTCGACAATGATAAAGATCAGAAAACCAAATGTACAGCAACCATTATCAAGGGAACAAGGAATTAACAATGGTCATAAGGTCAGAAGACAATCCATATCTCAAGAAAGAGGGTCGTGACTAAGCAGTTTTGTCATGGGAGAATGTTTACTGAAGGAAATCCGTACATGTGTCTCATCCTATGACCTCAGTCCTGGGAGCAGCATGCTGTTCCACTCGTTCCTGTTACCAGGAACTGATAAGGAAAAGAGGATTTATGAGAGACAGAAAACAGCACACAGGAATCCTCCTGTTAAACGTTCTCTGACACTTTATAGTGTCTGGTCTTACATTTAGGTCTTCAATCCATTTTGACTTTATTTTTGTGTATGGTGTTAGGTAGTGTTCTATTTTGTTTTACATATAGCTGTCCAGCTTTCCCAGTACCACTTATGGAAAAGATGGTCTTTTCTCTGTTGTATGTTCTTTCCTCCTTTGTCATGGATGAGATGACCATGATACATGGGTTTATCTGTCCTGTACCATTGACCTGTATTTCATACTGATCTGTATGGTATTTGTACTGTATGGTACAAATACAGTACCATATGGTATGCCAATACAGTACTGTCTTGATTCCTGTAGCTTTGTAGTAGTCTGGCCAGGGAGCCTGATTCCTCTGTTTTTCTTTCTCAAGATTGCTTTGGCTATTTGGGATATTTTGTGTTTCCATACAAACTGTAAAATTTTTTGTTCCCATTCTGTGAAAAATGCTGTTGGTAATTTGATAAGGTTGTATTGAATGTGTAGATTGCTTTGGGTGGTATAAGCATTTTCACAGTATTGAGTCTTCCCATTCAAGAACATGGTTGTATCTCTCCATCTGTTTGTGTCATCTTTCTTTCATCAGTTTTTTAGTTTCCTGAGTACAGGTTTTTTTTCCCCCTTGGGTAGGGTTTATTCCTAGGTATTTCATTCTTTTTGTTGTGATGGCAGATGGGAGTGTTTCCTTAATTTCTTTCTGAACTTTTGTTCATTGTTAGTGTAGGACAGAGAAGGCAATGGCACCCCACCCCAGTACTCTTGCCTGGAAAATCCCATGGACAGAGGAGCCTGGTAGGCTGCAGTCCATGAGGTCGCTAAGAGTCGGACACGGCTGAACGACTTCACTTTCACTTTTCACTTTCATGCACTGGAGAAGGAAATGGCAACCCACTGCAGTGTTCTTGCCTGGAGAATCCCAGAGACAGCGGAGCCTGGTGGGCTGCCGTCTATAGGGTCGCACGAGTTGGACACGACTGACGCGACTTAGCAGCAGCAGCAGTGTATAGGAATACAGGAGATTTCTGTCAATTTTCTATCCTGCAACTTTACCAAATTCATTGATGAGCTCTAGTAGTTTTCTGGTGGCATCTGTAGGATTTTGTATATAAATAGTATCATGTCATCTGCAAACAGTGACAGCTTTACTTCTTTTCCAAATTTTTTTTCCTTGATTACCATGGCTGGGACTTCTAAAATTAGGTTGAATAATAGTGGTGACAGTGGACATCTTTGTCCTGTTCCTGACCTTTTAAAAGGAAATACTTTCAGTTTTTCACCATTGGAATGATGTTTGCTGTGGGTCTGTCATATATGGCCTTTATTATATTGAGATAGGTTCTCTGTATGCCCTTTTCTGGAGCTTATTTTTTGTAATCGTTAATGGGTACTGAATTTTGTCAAAAGCCTTTTTTTGTATCTATTGAGGTGATTGTGTGGTTTTTACTCTTATATTTGTTAGTATAGTGTATCACATTGATTTTTTATATGTTGAAGAATCCTTTCATCCCTGGGATAAATCCCACTTGATCAAGGTGTATGATCATTTTAATGTATTGTTGGATTCTGTTTGCTACCATTTTGAGGAGTTTTGCATCTATGTTCACCAGTGAAAATGGTCTGTAATTTTCTTTTTTGTGTGTGATAGATTTGGTTTTGGTATCTGTGATGGTGGCCTCATAGTGTGTTTGGGAGTGTTCCTCTCTCTGCAGTTTTTTGGAAGAGTTTGAGGAGGACAGGTGTTACCGCTTCTCTGAATGATAGAATTCACATGTGAAGCCATCTGTCTGGTCCTGGACTTGTGTTTGCTGGAAGATTTTTCACTGCAGATTCAATTTCATTACTTGTGATTGGTTTCTCTATATTTTCGAATTCTTCCTGGTTGAGTCTTGGAAAGTTGTGCCTTTACAAGAATTTGTTGTCCAGGTTGAAGACCAGGTTGTCCATTTTATTGTCATATAGTTGCTTACAGTAGTAGTAGTCTCTTATGATCCTCTGTACTTCTGCAGTGTTAGTTGTAATTTATTTCTAATTTTATTGATCTGAGTCCTCTCCCTTTTTAAAAGGAAAATTTTAGCTGGATAAAAATTGCTTTACAATGTTGTATTGGTTTCTGCCATACAACAGTGTGCTGCGGCGGCTGCTGCTGCTAAGTCACCTCACTCGTGTCCAACTCTGTGCGACCCCATAGTCGGCAGCCCACCAGGCTCCCCCGTCCCTGGGATTCTCCAGGCAAGAACACTGGACTGGGCTGCCATTTCCTTCTCCAATGCATGAAACTGAAAAGTGAAAGTGAAGTCGTTCAGTCGTGTCCGACTCTTCTTGACCCCATGGACTGTAGCCTACCAGGCTCCTCCATCCATGGGATTTTCCAGGCAAGAGTACCAGAGCGGGTTGCCATTTCCTGCTCCACAACAGTGTGAGTCAGCCATAATTATACATATATCCCCTTCCTCTTGAGTCTCCCTCCCCTCATCCCATCCATCTAGGTCATCACAGAGCACCAGGCTGAGCTCTCTGTTATATAGCAACTTCCCACCAGCTATCTGTTTTACACATGATAGTATATATATGTTGATGCTACTTTCTCAAATTCATCCTACCCTCTCCTTCCCTACTGTGTCCATATGTCCATTTTCTTTGTGTACATCTCCATTCCTTCCTGCAAATAGGTTCATCAAAACCATTTTTTCTAGATTCCATATATGTGCATTAATATATATTTTTCTCTTACTTCACTCTATATAAACAGGAGCTAGGTTCATCCACCTCAGTAGAACTGACTCAAATTTGTTCTTTTTTGTGGCTGAGTAATATTCCATTGTATATATGTACCACATCTTCTTTATCCATTCATCTGTAGATGGACATCTACATTGCTTCCATGTCCTGGCTATTGTAAATAGTGCTGCAGTGAAAATTAGGGTACATGTGTCTTAGAATTGTGGCTTTCTCAGGATATATACCCAGTAGTGTAAGTGCTGGGTCATGTGGTAGATTTATTCCTAGTTAAGGAATCTCCATAATGGCTCTATCAGTTTCCATTCCCACCAACAGTGTCAGGGGGTTCTTTTCTCCATGTCCTCTCCAGCAATTTAAGGCTTGTAGATTTTTGGATTATGGCCATTCTGACTGGTGTGAGGTGATACCTCATTGTAGTTTTGATTTCTCTATTAAGTGATGTTGAGCAACTTTTCATGTGCTTATTTGCCATCCCTTTTTTCTTTGATTCTGGCTAAAGGTTTATCAATTTTGTTTATCTTCTCAGAGAACCAACTTTTAGTTTTACTGATCTTTGCAACTGTTTTCTTTGTATCTACTTCATTTATTTCTGCTGGATCTTTATGATTCCTTCTAACTCTGTTGTTGCAGTTCTCTGGTTGCTTTAGGTATAAGGTTATATTGTTTGAGATTTTTCTTGTTTCTTGAGATGAGACTGAATTGCTATAAGCTTCCCTCTTAGAACTGCTTTTGCTGTGTCCCATAGGCTTTGGGTCGTCATGTTTTCATTCACTTGTTTCTATTTTTTATTTCCTCTTTGATTTGTTCAGTAAGCTCTTGCGTTTTCAGCAGAGTGCTATTATCAAACCAACAAAGTGCTGACAGTGGTCCTACATCACTTCTGACTTGAACTCTTCTAAACGTGCTTTGACCTGATGACTATGGATCAGGGCACAAGTCACTAGTCATGGAGGTATGATCTATGTTACGTCACCTTCCTGTCTCTGCTTACTCTCATGCATCAAAGGCTGAAAAACACGAACCTGGAGGGCACTACAGTTATATGAAGCACTTTTATGTGGTACAGAGACATAAACACTTTTAAGAAATAAATATGTTTATTCTAAAATTGATGCAAATAATTAAAATTATACAAGAGGATGTTAAGGAGAGATTATGAAAAAAAAGCAAGCACAAAAGAAAGTAAGGCTATTACAACAGACAGTTCACAAGGCTCTCAAACACCTGATTTTTTACAGGCTGTAGCTGGTGGCTACCAAGTCAGGCCTCTGTCATTACTTCTGTCACTACTGGATCTAGCTAAAAGCAAGTTGTTGCTATTAAGACCCACAGAGAAGGCAAAGGAGCTCAGAGCTGTAAGGAGCAGGTAGAAGCATCAAAACACCACCTCTTGGGTATACCGTGCCTCCCTCTAATCATATCCTGGGCCTTCTTTCTCTAGAGTTTACCCCATAGCAAGTAGGTCCTCAAGGAACCAAGTCATTCGGCAGAAAACTATATAGCAAAGGTGGCATTCCTTGGCTTGATTCTGGCAAAGTACAAGTGGGCTGAGAGCCAGAATGCAAAGCTAGGATACCTGATGGACAGAACTAATCCAAATAATCCTTCAGAAAGACTTCTCACTTCCTGTTCATAATGGGAGCAAGAGGCCCAGTGGTTACCTCTGCAGATATCTGAAGGGTTCTGTCAGCTCCCAAACCAAATGCAGGGTTTGAAAACAGTGTCCTTTCATACGATGGAACTGCATGGCCCAGCTAGCTGGGGACCACCCGAGACAGTCCAGTCCATCATTAAGATGTGTGCAGATACAGATGATGACAACTGAAAACATAAGGCAGGACACTGCTCTGAGGAACTCGAGATGTGAGTTCCCAACTTCCCTTTAAACAGGAGTGACCACCACTCCTGGTGGTGTAGCACTACTCCAAGGGTAGTGCTTGGAACTGAGCAGAGCTGCCACCCGTCCATGGCTGTGACCTGGTTCTAGTATCAGTGGGCACGCACAACCACCTCACCACAAAGGAGCACTTTCTCAACAGCACCCAGTTTACAGCAACCACGAGCCCAGCAGGTATCTCCCCTGTATGCCTAAATAAACAAATGAATGCAGTCATCCATCCACAATGATTAAGATTTGGGACATTTTATTACTTAGTTGCTTCTTAAGAGATTATTGCTACAATTAGGAAGGGAGCCTTGAGATGGAAAGGGGGGAGGTTAAAGACAGAAAAGATCTAAAAGAGGCAAGTACCATTTTCCAAGTATAAAACTGGTCATATTAAAAGTGACATGGCAGTATATTCATGCAACTACTTAACTCTAACCCAGAAACAAGAGTACAGTTTTTGCAGAGGCCAATGAGACATCTGCAAGCAACATGATATCATGAAGACATTCCATCTACCTCTGCAGACTAGATGCTACTTACGCACACAGGTACGTACAGAACAGAAAGCCCACAAGTGTTAAGTCTAACACTCATGATCATAAAGTGGCAACAGCAGGTCCCTTTGAAAACACCATAGCCCACAGAGGAAGGTCCTGGGGAGACACGGGAAGCAACAGGACACTCTGCAGGTATGTGCTTCTTCGTTTTTAGCAGCTGACAAACCACAGTGGTGCCTGCTGAGTGGTTCTGGGTCCCTGGAATTCCTCCAACATGATGAACGCCCTGGAGATCCAGCAATGGTTCACACAGTTTCTCTCTCAGGAAGTGCCCATCAGTTCATCAACCAGGGGGGGAATGTGACCCCCCTATCCAAAGGATCTCTGCTTCTAACACAAACATACCCACCTTTGTGGAGCCCACAAGGACAGAATGAAACACAACACACCAGCCAGTCAGTTATTGTGGAGGAAGTACAGCACTAAAGAACACTTAGACGAATGTGCCAGGGAGTCTGGGGGAAGCCGTGGCTCTCTGGGCCAGCTCTCCCAGTGAAGAAGGCTAGAGGACACCAGCCTGAGGAGGCCGGGGATTCAGGAGTCCCTGAGAAGGGTGGTGGGACAGAGAAAAGTGTCTCCCGACTTACCCCTACCCAGGTAAAAAACTCAAAGACTGATCCAGTTCCCTCTGGGCCTGGGTCAGGAGTAGCCCATCACTGCTCACTGCTGAGAAAGAAGGCACATCGTGTGTTGTCATGCGGGTAGGACAGTGGCTCAACCGAGATCAGCGCCCTGTGCAGGGGGCAGAGGGTAGGAAGTGGGCGCAGGGCTGGGTCCTGTTCCTGCGCCACCCTGAGCAACTAGTCTTAACGAAGGAATCCCAGGCCCTAGGCCTCAAGTGACACTTGATGTCTTCCTATTCCAGAAAGTTTCTCTGATCCTAGCCAGGGCCAAGGAGCATCCAGTACCTGAGGCTTGACTGCCGTCGTACCTTTGGGAGTTGAATGAAGGGGGAAGAGGCAGGAAGAACACACCAACAGAGATTTTCCTTGCCTTGGGGGCTCTCTCACACCCTCCTTGGGTAAGTCAAGGCAACTTGTGAAGGTGCTTTGAGCTGTTCCTTCAGGCAAACAAAAAACATATGTGCCATGATGGCCAGAGCAGCAGGGTGGGGAGGACTGCTGCTAACTCTGGTGGCATACCCTGGAGTCTGGGTGCTCATCCTACGCTGATACTCAGGGAAGTCTAGAAAAAGGCCTGGTTCCGATCTTCAGGGGCCCAGGAGAGGGCTCAGGTGTGCTCTGACACTGCCAGCTCCAAGAGGCAGCACCAGGGCCAGAAGGTCCTAGCGTCTCTGGAACCCACACCATTCTCTTCCTACTCCATGGAAATAGGAACAAACCGCTGGGAACGGAAGATGACTGCAACCAAGTACCACATGGGGACTGCAAGCACAGACGGGGACCATCGACCACTCCAGACCCTGCCTTGGAGGACTGAGCAGATTTGCCTGACCCTGCTGGCCCCACAGAGCAGGATGGTGGCTGGCCAACCTGTGTCCTTGAAAGACAGCACACTAGGGCTGGGAAAGCCTCCTGCTTGAGCAGACCTCACCCCCACCTAGGGGAACACCAGGTACAGAACAGGATTCCTGTCTGACTAGCCCAGCTGCCTGAGCTAACAAAATACAGCTTTTCCCCCAGCTTCCCTAAGGAGTCAGGATGGGTCAGAGCTGCCACACCGTGATTAAATGAAGTTGACAGCAAGAGAGGTTAGAGAAGGAAATGGTTAAAACAATTCCCAGGGGAACATTTAGAACAAGGACAAAATAATGACGTCATGGGGTCCTTTGAGGTCTTCACATTAAAAACCACCAAAGGATGAGAATCCTGAGGATCAAGCTGTCTCGTGGTCTGTGTCGTGCTCTACGGAGCAAGACCAAATGCTGAAACCACGTGGCCTGTCCCACACCCCGAGAACCTTCTGAAGGCCAGACGTCCCTCGGGGTTACAGAGGGTCTCAGCTCAGCGGGGTTTCGGAGAGCCATTCATCTGGCTGCCCTGAGTTACAGTGTCTGTACTGAAAAGGCTGTCCAAGAAGACAGAGGACAACTCCGCCACCAGGTTCCTGTCGACGGTAGCCTGGGCCATGCCATAGATCGCACCCTAGAAATCCAGTCAAAGAATGTCATTAGTGATGAGGGGTTTGAAGGAAACAGAAAGCTGTGGTCATGCGCTCCTTCTCCCCCCCATCTCCCCACTCCCAGCCCAGGCGCAGTTCCACCAGAAAGATAGCTGGCATAAGATGTTTGTCACAGGCATTTGCCAGTCTGCGTTTCTGCCTAAAGAACTAGCCTGTGGGATCCAGTGTAGAAAATTTCAGAGGAAACTGGCTTAGTGCCTTTCCTGTGCAAAGATTGTCTTTTTAAAGGAACACTGCCACTGCCTGCCTTCATGTTAACACTCTCTATATCTATAGATACCTTACTTGAGACCAAAAATCCCTGGGAATGGGTAAGCAGAGATCATCAGTCCTGGTTAATACAGAACGAGGTTTGTGGATAAGGGGCAGAGGCAGGAACAGACTAGGTCACCCACCACCAACACCTGCGCCTCCACAGGAAGAGAAAACCGCGAGTGCCCCTACCATTCCTGTGGTCTTTGCTCTTGGGTTCTTCATGATCTGAGTGACGGACTCCCGGATGTCCTTCAGGAACTGAATGGCTACCCGCTTGCGGGTATGTACCAGCGTGATGCAGAAATGGAGGCTGCGGGAGAGCAAAGACAGTGAGACGGGTCTGGGGACTCCACTCTGAAATCAAGCAGCTCCAAATGCAGCAGCTTACTGGTTGCTTATTCAGGCTGTTATTCATGACAAGCGTAGTCAAGTTGCTCCCAGTCCTAGGCATCAGAGCTCTCCATACCCAGACTGTTGACTGTAGGCTGGCGTGAGGGCGTCATGCCCTGAGCGTGATCAAGAACAACCCTGGTAAGTCGAATACAGCAGGGTGTTCTGTGCCATCCCTCCCCTCAAACCGTCCACTGCTGTTCCTTCAACCACAGGACAACACGTTTATCTTAGGTGGTGAACCTCATGGTGACAGGGCCATATGGCTGGGGTCTTGAAGGACTCCAGGGCAGAGAAACTCCTGACTCCCTTTGGAGGGAGACTGTGTACAAAAAGACTGTGAAGAGAACACGGAGTCCGGATGGAACTGGCAGTGGCACCAATACGTGAAAAAATGGGGCTGCGTAGAGGACGCTGAGAGACCTACTCTTGGAGCAGAGTGCTTATTTAAAGGCATCACGGAAGATTAGAAATGCATATGAAAGGTGACAGTATCAGGCCCTTGATTAGAGGCCCTCTGGAAGGTTCTAAGCTCACTGTTACTCAGGTAATCAGAGGAAAGAGAGAACAGAGCCCAGAGCAGGGGTGGGGGTAACAATCTTACTGTCTCAAGAGGCTGCCACCTCATTTGCCACAGTTTAAAGCTAACAGTCTTATTCTTGAAACTGAGTAACTCCTAATAGCAAGACAAACGACCTACAGATACTACAGCTGCCATGAAAGTGCTGGGCTCTAGCAGTCCCCGTCTATCCTTGAGGTCACCTTGCTGCCCAAGTTCTTCAGCAGCCATAGACCAAAGGAAGAAGCATCTTCAAGCTCACCTGGGTGGGAACTGCAACTGATTCAAGTTCCAGCCCTTGGCATTCATCAGGTTGAATAGTCGATAGATATCAAAATCACGAGAGCCCAGAGCGATGACTGACAACTGAGGATTCCCAAAGACAAAGATGCCTTTGATATTTTCTAGTCTTAAAAGAGAACAGAAAAGAAATTCAGTCACATTCTTCTGGCCATCATCTCATGTCACCCTTATAACAATCTAAGCTTTGGGGACTTAAGTTTCCTAATAAGGTAGCTAGACTGAGATCAGTAGTTCCTAAATATTACAAACATTTAAAGGCCCAGACCCCTCTAGATCTAATACCTTTGACTCCTAAATTATGTATCCCCCCCCCCCCACAGGAGTATCTGAGGAATAAGCGATGAACTTTTTTTTAATCCTACAAAAACGATCCCTCCATCTCTCCTTAAAAAGTCATCCATGTAATCCCTGAAGCAGGAGATGGTATACCAGTTCTCAGCAGATGGCTGTATCAGGAACATATACAGGCCTCGGTCTAACAAGCCAGGCCTAGCGGCCGCTTTCATTCAACCTCAAAATCCTGAAGAGACCTCCCCAACCTCAGTAACACAGAGAACCAAGCAGGTAACACATGAAGAAGAGACATTAGACAAAGCATGCAGCATGATTTTGCCTTAACAACCCAGATTTCAGCACCCCTTCTTCCCCCACCCCTTCCAATTCTTTTCTTATTCTAGTGATTCTACAAGTGTGATTCTTAGACCTGCAGCATTAGTGTCTACTGGGCATTTTCAGAAATGCAAATCCTCACATTCCTATTCCAGACCTACTGCGTCAGAATACTAGGAGTGGGGCCTGGTGATCTGCATTTTAACAAGCCCTCCAGGTGATTAGGATTCAGCCTCAAGTTTGAAAACTACTGTCTTAACCATTAAGCACTTGGTAAGCGCTGCCAGCTGGTAAGACATCCTTGGAGACACAATGGCCTACAGAGGAAGCCTGGCTGTGACCCCAAGGCACAGCACAGGAAGGGAGCTTATGCTCCTCGGCCAGCACCACACTCCTAAGCTTCAGGGGACAACAGGTGCTGGAGCTGTGGTGCTTGGTCAGGCAGATGCCTTGTGCCTATGTGCATACAACACAAGAGACAAGGCAGAATGCCAATCTTGCACACGTACTCTGACTTGAGGAAGCGAGTGGTTTTGATGATCTGTTTGGTAGCTTCAACGTAGCCATTCTCACCGAAGTACATCAAGGAGGCCCAACAGGCTGCGCTAATGCCACCAGGCCGTGAGCCCGCAATGGTTGGGGAAGCGTAGATGCCGCCCTGCCAGTCTGTGGCAACGAAGAACTGATAGCGCCTGTACTTCTTGTCAGAGTATAAGACCACTGAAGAGCCCTTGGGGGCATAGCCATACTGCAGGGAGAAGCAGACAGGTGAGTGAGTGGTTCACGTGGCAGACCCGCTCCAGAACTCTAGGCATTTCCCCTTCACCTGCCAGTGTCTCTGACAGTTTCATCTCACATTAAGATTTCCAACTTAGAACTTTAGAATAGAGGAAACCAAAGGGATGGGGTTTCAAATTCTCTATTTTAGGACTGAGGAATCTGAGGCCTAGGAAAAACAATCTGTTATCTAGAAATAGGTTTGCCTCCTCTCTCTCTCATTCAGCATGTAGTTTTCCTTATTTAAAACAGGACCTCAGGGCCGTATGTCAGGATGGAAACAAAGGTAAATTTCCACTGGAAGCCAGGAAAGAAATTCAGGTCACTTGGAGCAACTAAAATGATTTGACTTACTTTCCATCTTTTTTGTTTAGTATACTTTCCTCTTCAGAATACCATGGTGCTCAAAATCTAGAAGCTACTTAATCCAGCTTTAAAATAAACTGTACTTGACTAATGTGCCCTCTTAATTAACTCTCACTGAAGCTAAGATGGAACTCATTTTACTCCCTAAGCCACACAAAGACAGATGGTAAGAAAAAGGGCATGGGGCTATCTTATGTAGACTTTGCTTTAGGTCACCGGGGATAGCAGGCATGGACATTTCAAACATCACAAGCCAAACATTCCTGAGCTCGTAAGTTCATCGCTTTTCCCGGAGGCCTCTTCTGTTGATAAAGTCCAGTCACTCAAGTGCAGGAGCCCCAGGAGCATGGGGGCTGCAACACTAACATACCTCCTTTTAGGAATTCTGGTATCAACCTCACCTCTTCCCCAACCCCTGAACTCTTAAGGGTCCAGGAACCTTTGTCTAAGAGCCACCACACTAGTGCGTCCTGGTTACGTACAGCCCCTGGATACAGAAATTCTCTTAGCCACATGACACAAAGATAATAGGTTCCTTTTCACTACTGCTCGTCACCTGCAGCTCTATATCCTGTCATATCACTTTACCTTGTCACAGCCATCAACTGTCAACTCTGATTAACATGTGGTCTCTTTCCTCACTCACCTTATGAGTATCAGCTGAAATGCTGGTCACGCCTTTCACCCGGAAATCAAATGGCTGCTCCAGCGGGTATCCCGCTTTCTCCATAAAGACGATGAGGAAGCCCCCCAGACAAGCGTCCACGTGAAGAGGTATTTTGTATTTGACAGCCAGCTAGTTCCAAAGGCCATAAAGAATATCAGTTATGGCCCTATAACAAAAGCTTTGCAAGACATGGGTGGAAAGCTGGGATATAACCACAGAGCATTATGTACTATGTTTTAAAATCCTGGCTATGTTTGACATTCTTAATAAAGCTCATCTTTCAAGTGTAGTTAGCTTTTAAAATAATTCACCTGAAATGTGATTTCTATTTTAAATATGCAGGGCCTCCAACTCACTGCAAAATCATGCAAGGAATGAGCAGAACTCTGATTAAGGCTTGGAGGTGTGTGGTGTCCTACTCTAGTAACTGCAGGGTGGGGAGGGAGAGGTGCTCTGGGGCAGCACAGTGGGTGAAGACCACCCTCTGGTCGGCATGCCCCTAAATGCAGATTATTTCCTGATCTGAATCAAAATGTCAGTACTACTGCAGAATGTACAGTTTAAATGTGTGTTATCCCTCCCCCACAGCCCGAGCTAGTCACCTTCAGAGGCTTCCAGAGAGCTATGCAGCTTACCACAGGGTGGATGAGAGGTATTCACCACCACTGGGTTACAATCTAAACTCAAAATCACATTCTTTTTTCCTAAACTGCACCACTAGACTCTGCTCTAAACTCTCTGTCTGCCTGCCCAGTAGTCCTTTCCCCCGCATACCTTGGCCACTTCAGGGATGGGGTCTATCACACCATGAGGGAACTGTGGGGCAGAACAGACGAGCATGGCCGTATTCCTAGAGATGGCTCTGCGCATCGCCTGAGGGGATAAAGTTGAAAGGAAAATGAGAAGTCACATCACAGTTACTCTGCTCTTATGCTGCCAGGAGCAGCCTAGGCTACCAACCTAAAGGTTCAGCTCCACACCCCCTTCACCTCTCCAGCCCAGAGGAAGACCACTGTCCCACCATGGTGGCCAAATACTAACACTTGGGGAAAACAGTCTGAGAGCATAATACAAAACAGCAAAATCATTGTGATGGTAAAGAATAATATTGGGCTAAGAGGCAAGAGAGCCAAACGTGAGTTCTGGCCCCACATGTTAGCAGTGAAAGCTTGAGGAAGCTACTTAACTTCAGTCAGTGTGTTTCCTCATCTATGAGATGCAATAATACTAACTGCTTCTATGATCTCCCCAGGTTATCATGAGGCTCAAATGTGGCTCAAACTAGGAAGTTCCTCTACATAAATGCAAGGCACAAAAATAATTACTATAGGCTTATTATTCTGGCTTAAAAAAGAAAGCCTGCCATTTGAGACCATGTAGATGAACTTGGAGGTCACTATGCTAAGTTAAATAAGTGAAGTGAAGTCGCTCAGTCGTGTCCGACTCTGCGGCCCAGTGGACTGTATCCTACCAGGCTCCTCCGTCCATGGGATTCTCCAGGCAAGAATACTGGAGTGGGTTGCCATTTCCTTCTCCATGGGATCTTCCTGACCCAGAGATCGAACTGAGGTCTCCCACATTGCAGGCAGACTAGCTTTACCCTCTGAGCCACCAGGGAAGCCCTAAATTAAATAAGCCAGACACAAAAGGACAAATACTGCATGATTTCAGTTATATGGGGAATTGAAAACAGTCAAACTCATAGAAGCAAAGAATAGAATGGTGGTTGCTAGGAGCTGGAAAATGAGGGAAATGGCGAGATGTTGGTCAAGGGGTGCCAAGTTCCAGTTATTAAGATGAGTAAGTTCTGGAGATCTAATGTAAAGTCATGACTATACTGAACAACACTGCACTGTATAGCTGAAATCTGCTTACAGACCTAGAGGGTAGTTTTAAGTATTCTAACCATGAAAAAAGAAAAACAAAATTATGTGAGGTGATGGAGATATTAAATACCTTAATTGTGATGATTATTTCACAGTGTATCCATATATCGAAATACCAAATTGCATACCTTAAATATACACAATTTTTTTTACTTGTCAATTAGTTAACACCTCAATTAAGGTGTGGGGATAACATTAGTGATAATAAATTGGACAGTTTACTTCTAAAAAATACTTACCATTATAAGGGCAATGGTACTAATTCAGGCCAATTGAAAACAACGAGAGTCTTGGGTCAAGTTAGTCCAGGCTTATTTTACAAAGAGAAGAGAAAGTGATGGTGCTAAAGCAAAACCCAGGTCTTTAAAGTACCAAGTTAGTCTCAGCTTCCTATTAAGAGTTCATGTACTGTGAAAAGACCGATGCTGCAATGACTCACCACTGCCAGTGGCAGATTTTGCAAGTCCTAATGCTATAATCAAAGGCACTTCAAGCCTATCCATGTGACCCTGAGAAAAGCTAGTGATCAGGTGCACTTCCTGCTTCTCCCAGCCCAAGACAGACAACAGCCCTTCAGAGAAACTCACCCGAACATCCACCTCCATCATTTTGTTCAGGGGAACCCGTATAATCTTCATCCCAAAGTAACTGGCGGCTTTGTCAAATGCAGCGTGGGCACTCTGGGGGGCTACGCTAAAGGAAAATAGTGAAATTCAATCAAACCAGGTTCAAGAGATACCATGGCTAGCAGCTCATTGCAATCACCAGGAATAAACTTTTTTTAAAGAGTTTATGTTATTTTACTTTTCTTTTAAACACAAAGAGGTCAAATGATTTTCTAGAGAAACCTCCCTACTATTTAGGAAATCACTTTGGTAACAGGAAGAACTTGGAAGTAATGCCACTTGGAGGAATCCCAAGCTTAAATCAGGGCAGATAAGTAAAAGATGACAGAGAATTTGGATCAGATCAATGTGAGGGTGTGCTTTCTGGTGGTTGTCTATCGAAAGAAGGGCACCCCAATGAGGAGCAAGCTTCCTGGCACAATACATGCTCAGGCAGAAAACGTAAGACTGCCTGTCAGGGATGTTAAAGCATCACATCAATGGTCGTCTTCATCTGTGGAAGACCATGATCCTGTGGAAAATTAAAATTCCCCTTTGTCCTACACACTTGGGAACAGCATTTCAGACAGTATTGAAAAAGGAAATATCTCATTTGCTTTCAGACTTTCCTCAATTACTCCACTCTTAAAATTAATCTGTTCCCTTTGAAGGAAAAAAATTGCCATCACTGACTAAGTACCAAGTACCAAAGATGTATGTGTGAAGAAAGATGGTAGCCTGACTTCCTCTCTTATGCTTGGCGTGAATTATAGCATGAGATCACATGCAACAAAACCCTTAGTCACTGAAACTTGTGGGAAACCATTAACCCAAAAGCTGTGGTGTGAGCACATGGTACAAGGGAGACGGCCGAGAGAAAAAAGTAAAGCAAACGAATAAAATTAAAGCAACCAAATAAAATTATGGTCATCTCTGGATTTTTAACATTTTTCTTCCCAGAACACAGCTGGCAGGCTGAAATTTTCTTAGGGAGCACCCTGAAGCAGTCTAAGTAATTTTCATTGAACTAAGATAAGTTAGAGAGTTTTCCTTAGGTTCCAGATAAAGGAAGTATCACAGAACTCAAAGATACAGTCCTATAACTGTTACTTTTAGAAAAAGAATCTTGTTCTTGCAGTATACACCATGTATAAATTTGTGAGGGGCGGGGTGTAGGAAAGGGAATATTCACTACAGATGCACTCAGGATTTTGCTAAATGTGAAGGGTAATGGTCAAGGGCACAGGATAGGATGGAAGAGGACTGGAATTGCCAGAAGAAGCAGAAAACAAATGGTCAGGCCGTTTCACACAGAAAAACCTAAATGTGGAAAAAAGTCAGCTACACATAACACAAAATATTAGGGGGAAAAGGGGAAAAAAGTTCCAAAAAGCAAAACCTGAATTTGCTGCACACCAGCAACTGTTTATATATAGCATTTACATGTTAAGTATTGTAAGTAATCCAGAGATGATTTAAGACTATAGGGAGGATGTGTGAAGGTCATGTGCCAATACTATACCACTTTACATAAGGGGCCTGAGCATGGAGGATTTGGTATCCACTGGGGTCCTGGAACCAATGCTCCATGGATACTAAGAACAACTGTACCTACATTTCTGGAGTTTTGATCCCATTCTCGAAGGCCAGTTCCCGATAAGCTTTGCAGGCCATCAAAATACTTTCTGTGCCCCCAGAGGTCACCTGTAATAAAAAAGAGAGTTGGGGTAGCTATCAGCATGCACTTCCTGCCTTGATCTTGAGGGTATCTGATGCAGAGACAGATAAGCTCTGGGATGCACACTTTAGAGCACATGCTGCTGTCTTTCAGATGGAAAATTTGACTTTATTGGCTAAGCCCAATCTTGGCTCAGGAGAAGAATAAAACTACTAAATGATCAGAAGCTCCACACTGTATGTATGAACAAATAAATGCATATCTGCCCAGACTACCCGTGCACAAACACTTACATTTCTATTGTTCATCGAACTACAGACAGGACAGGGAATTTTATCCCCTTCCAGAAGCATCAGGGTTACTGACTGATTTAAATTTTTAATGCCCATTAAAGAATGTGAACTGAAAGAATGTGAAACTGGGAAGTTATAGCTCTAGTCAACTATGTGATACATTAGAAGACCAAGAAGAGACACTCAGACATTCCAGAGTAAACTTGTGATTTTGACAAGTTTGAAAGAAAAGCAGAAGCCTCTGCTTAGAAGTTTATTAACTTACTTATCTAAAGTCAAAACAAAAATTCTAATTTTTTAAAGGAAGAAAAATGTCTTTCTGAAGCTAGGCCTACCTAGCCCCTCTGATACAGGCAAATTTTACTGAGTTGATACAAAAATACTCGATGTCATTTCATTCATCCTGTTTTCCTCAGTGGACTAAAACCTCATGAAGGTAGCAACCAGTCTATTCATGACAATATTCCTGATACCCAGCCAGTAAAGCTGAAATCTATCAGACCATCAGTTAACATTTCCTAATGCCTGATTTGACTCTCAGTAAACCACAACCAATACAGGTACGTCATACCCATCTGGCTATCTTTTGGTAACTTCTAGGAATGAAATCATTTCAAAACACACACACACAAAAAAGAGCCATAGCACTGAGCTAGGTGAATATTTCCTTAGATCTATCATCTCCAAAGATTCACACAATCCTAGAAAACTTCTCCATTTTATAGGTAAGATAACTGATCCCTGAGAGACTGGTTCACCTGAAGCCATCCATCTTTTGAAAAAGAGTAAAACTTTCTATATTTTCATATTTAGTGTAACCTGATGAGATGAAATGAGAGTGGATGATGGCTGTAATTTCCTAAAGTAATATCCACATATAAGACAAAAATACCATAGGCTACAAAATGCAACTGGTCAGGAGTTATGTGGCAGATTAAAAAGTCAGTCATTCTGTAATTGAGGAAGCCTGCAGGAAACACGTGGCTATCATGCACACAGTAAGGCGCTGAACTGGGGCACAGGACCCTTGCTTGTAGGCTCGGGCATTTCTCTGCGTACAACTGAGGTCAGTGCTGCAGATCGCGCTGTGTCCTGTGGTCCAGCAGAAAACCTCAGAACATCACATGAGGAACCAAGACAGCTGTGAAGGAAGTCAGCAAAGGACCAAGTTCTCAGTGCACTGTTCTCTCACTAAGGTTCAGCAATGACCTAAGCAGAAATATTTCCAAATGCCTAGTCACTCACTTTACATGTCCTATTTTCAGTCCAGTAACAAATCCAATCAGTATCATTATCTGTTAGGCAAACAATGGTGTACTTTGGACTGTAAAAGCAGGAACACCAAAATTCTGCTTCTGATTTTCATTTCTGACCCACACTCTGTGTTCAGATTTTGCTGCTGCTCTATTTCCTCTACCCCTGTACCACGCCCCAAAATAGAAATCTAATTCTAAAGGAAGAAGACAGAAGCCTCAGTAACTACTTGACACGTTACTCAACATCTTTCAACACTTTCAAAAACTCTCACCCTGTATATGCTATGTCAGAAAACAACACTTTCAAAAACTCTCACCCTGTATATGCTATGTCAGAAAACAAGAGTAGAACGGGACCTACTGGGAAATTTTTCTTATAGATAGTCTTTGGACCTGATGGCATTTGTACAAGTCAAGACTTTACTGCAGCAACCAAATTTCTTTCAGTATATAAAGTCACCTCACTCATTCTACCTGAGGCAAATGAAGCTACAAAAAGGAAAGACAGTTTCAGGTGAAGAATAAAGAATGAGAAGAGCTTAAGACCTTAGTTGGGAACACGTTCCAGACTGCTCAGTCAGCTGGCTTTGTCTTCTTGTTTCCTACCTCTGAACTTTCCTCACCAAAAGGAGATCATCAAGACAGAGACAGATACACAGAAAGGCAGAGACTTAAGAAAGAACCTGAGAAACTCACATAATCTGAGGTAATTAGTTCTCATAAAAGTCTAAGTATCAAAAAAAAAAAAAGTCTTAAGTATCTGAAGAGGCTGGGGATCTGAGATTCTATCTGTCCTTCTCCTGACCCCTGACACAGCACTTTAAAGGTCCTAATCAGAGAGGCATGGTTTAATTGTAGCAATGCAAGAAAACAGAGTTGGACTGTGGTATTAAGATGGAAGACTGAAACTACTTCACAGATTTTTTCTCCCTCAGTACATGCACGAATGAAGGAAAAAAGCAGTAAAACCCTGCAATAACAACCACCCAACAAGGAGATAATCTAACACAATAAACTTCAAATACTGGTGATGAGAAAACAAAACAAGTTTCTGAATCATGGCAAAGAATCAAACACAGTTCCTAATCCCTCCTCCAAGATGTGGAAATTGTCCAGGTGAAACAGCAAAATGCTGAGAATTGTCATTAATATTCCCCAAGTCTTCAGAGAAGCAAGTGGCGGGGGTTTCCTTATTGTCAGATGAGTGGGTGAGGGAGACATGGTGGCTGGGAAGAAGCAAGCAGCCCAGGAGAGGGAACACCAGGACCTGCTCTTTAAAGTGACGGCTCCAGGGACATAGGACGAGCTAAAGGAATAACTGAAGCCCAAAAAGGAGTATTCGCTTCCAGCTAGGCAGAGTGAACTCTGGTAGGTGACTTTGAATGAAATGGCAGAGATATTCTAATACAGGTGGAGCAAAGCTTTACAGACAAGACCAGACAAGACCAGACCCGCCATGCATCAGAACAAACAGAATGTCTACAGACAGTCACCAAAACAGGAGCCAAGATGAAAGAAGATGGCATGGTAACTATGCAAACACAGAAAAAGAAAAGAAGGTAGCCTGCAAAATAAAGGCCAACTCAGAAGGTAACAACCTAAGGAACAGAAAGAAATTCCTCCTGTTTCTCACTGTAGGACAATATAATAAGAACAGGAATTGAAGAAAACAAGAGCTGAGAGAGTGAACACTGAAATAACAGAATGAGACTGCAGACCTAAACACAAAGTATCAAAAAGCATGACTGCAGAATTACTATATACATTAGAAATAGCAAGGAACATATTAAACACTGCTGAGAAGCTGAGAACCACTATACTGATTATAGGAAAGATTTTAGGTAAATTTAGTGAATCCAGAGAAGGCAGAGACTGAAAACCCAGTGCTCTGGAGAACTGTGTCCATGTGCTGGTCATACACAGCTAAAAAACACTGAGAGGAAGGCTGGGCACAGGTGGAAATCTGTGAGATCATATTCTCTTAGAAAGCTGAGTATCCTAGGAAAACCATGGTGAAGAGAGGATTCGGGGGAAAGACGCTTTCAAGTATACAGAGGTCTCCCATGTAGAAAAAAGTAATCATGGAACTTCTGTTTCCAGCAACATACATTATACATCTTGGGCCACCCTCCTAAATGAAACAGCTAAAAAAGTCTGCTAAAACATTAAAAAGTATTTTTACATCCATCCATGACTAAGCTAACACAAAGGAACACACTGAACCCTCCAACAAAACAAAGTCAAGAATCATGTAAGCTAAGTGTCAAAGCTGGTTTTAAATCTGAAGGTTACTGCCAACTCCTAGATCCGACTTCAAACTTTCACTTTGAAAAATAAACAGGAAACAAGTTTGGGGCCTGTTCAAGGTAAGGCATCTAAGAGGGCATGGCTGAAAACACTGACTTCACCCACACTCTTAGCAGTGAGGGAAATAAACCCTGCTGGTACAGAACAGGACAGCAAGAAAAATTGCTTTTCTCAACCCAGATACTCAGGGTAAAGAAAAATAAGGATCTCTCAGGAATGTACGCCAAAACAACTTTTATTTGAGTATGTGGTCTGAGTTCAGACTACTTCCACAGTACAAAACTATGGGCTGAAAATCGGACTTACACTGGTTCCAATGTGGCAGTACTTCCCAGCAATTCCCTAGTAACTGGCAGAAGTAAACACAAATCTCTGAAAGAATTTAACTTCAACCATCAAAGTTAAGTTTCCAGGAAAACCCGAACTCATAGGGAAAAAAAAAAATCAAAGATATAAGGATACAAGACAACATAAGTAAAACCAGAACAGAAACATACAAGTAAGGCTCATGGAATTATCAGACATAGAATATAAAATAATTATGTGCAATATATTTAAATAAAACATAAGCCAAGGAAAGGGACTACAAAGAACCAAACAAATTAAAAAAAAAAAACAGAATTCTCAAGAATGAAAAACACAGTAAATGAAATTAGAAACCCAATGGAAGAACTAATGAGTAGAATAGTTAAAGAGGGAATTAATAACACCCCCGCATGTATCACCCAGCTCCAACATTTCTTAACTCACAGCCCATCTTCGTCTACCAGCAACTGCCCCAGCCACTGTTGCTATCGAGGATATCAGTTGTTCTAATAGTTACACCCTCACAGGTTATGTTTCGGGGACTGCTTTTCAATATGAACAGAGGTGTGTTAGCCTTTCTCACTCTATCTTTCATGTCTCTTAACTTTCTAGTCATCTCTCTGGGTTTTATTCTGGTTAACTGTCTTTGTTCCATAAATTTTACTTTTAGGAACCATGAAAATATTTTCAGTCAGTTCAGTTCAGTTCAGTCGCTCAGTTGTGTCCGACTCTGCAACCCCATGAATCGCAGCAGGCCAGGCCTCCCTGTCCATCACCAACTCCTGGAGTTCACGCAAACTCATACCCATCAAGTCGGTGATGCCATCCAGCCATCTCATCCTCTGTCGTCCCCTTCTGCTCCTGCCCCCAGTCCCTCCCAGCATCAGGGTCTTTTCCAATGAGTCAACTCTTCGCATGAGGTGGCCAAAGTACTGGAGTTTCAGCTTCAGCATCAGTCCTTCCAATGAAAATATTTTACATGGTTATAAATGAACTAGGGCTCCTTGAACTAGGGCTGATTCCGGATCTGGAGCACGAAATGTAAAAGATATTTTCACCAAATAAAAATATTTTGTCCAAAAAAAAAAAGGGGAGGAGAGAAAGGAAGCTTTCAAAAACTACTTTGAGTCATGCAAAAAGGCACAGGAGTCAAAATTAAGAAGCTCCCACTGGCAAAAGCTGGAGTAATCTGAGCATCAATCTGAGTGACAGCTACAGTAAATTGAAGCATACACAGTCTCCTACAATTTATCCACCCCACCACTGACAGATATTTGAATTATTTCCAGTATTTAACTATCATGAACAACGCTGCTATGAATATACATCTATCCTGATATACAAATATACTAGTTTTCCTAGAATATATCCCGAGAAGTGGAATTTCAGGGTCATAAAATACTGATATTTTCAACTTTACTAGATAAACCACAAACTGGTTTTGTGGTTGTTTAACCTGTACTCTCTTAAAAGTTCATGAAGAGTCTAATGGCACAGAATACCCAGGTACTATAAGAATACTGGCATCTGTGTCACTCCATTCATCTAAATGCCATAAGGGAACCCACTGCTAGATTATGGCTGATTCAGTTTTTAACAGTTTTAGAATTTTTTTTTGAAAAATGAGTGTCTGGAATACCACTTTTGTAAGCTACTGAGTATCTGAACATGTTGATTTTTCATGGTGCCAATTAAAAGTAAAACCCAATGCTGCTTATTGGCGGGGGGCGGGGTGGGGAGAGTAACTGTAAAATGTTCTCGTCTTGGGATGGGCCCTTTAGTAATTTAATTTGCAGACTTCATGGTGATTAGAGAAGTATGACAGGATCAGCACCTAGAGGTTACCATTACAGTACCCTGGGTTAACTCTATCTTGCATAAGCTGAAATTTAGTTTTTTCTAGAGAAGGCAACACCAGTCTGTAGTAACAAATCTCAACAGAAGTTCATCAATCACAGTTTAGGAAAACTAACAAACATCTACTAGAAAGAATAGTTGAGAGAAAGAATCCTCATGGGTATCTTTAAATACAATGACACTCTCTTTAATCCTAAACCAACTAAGATTTGATTTATGGCAAAACAATATCCAGCTCAAGGAAAACAAGTATATCAAAAAACGATGAGATGTTTTGACAAATTTATACAGTAAGGAGATCCAACCAATCAATCCTAAAGGAAATCAACCCTGAACATTCATTGGAAGAACTGATGCTGAAGCTGAAACTCCAATACTTTGGCCACCTGATGCGAAGAGCCGACTCATTGGAAATGACCTTATGCTGGGAAAAATTAAGGGCAAGAGGAGAAGGGGACAACAGGGGATGACATGGTTGGATGGCATCACGACTCAACGGACATGAGTTTGAGCAAGCTCTGGGAGTTGGTGAAGGATAGGGAAGCCTGGTGTGCTGCAATCCATGGGGTCACAAAGAGTCAGACATGACTGAGCGTCTGAACAACAAAGTGATTAGGTTTGCAGGTAGAAGAAAGAGATGGAGGGAGAGAAAGAAGAGACAGAACTATCCTGATGATATAAGTTTAAAGGTTTTCAAAACAAAAAACTGAAGAGAAAAAAAATCTAGAAGGTATTTACTAAAATGCTGATGAGACACTAATTACAAAATTGCAAGTAATCTTTAAAAATTTCTGTTCAGCTGGATCTTCCTACAATAATCATGTATTACTTATGTAATGTTTTTAATACTTCTATTTTATGCTAAAAAAAAGTCATATTATAGAATGTCATTTGCATATACTTACACATCCACAGGAATCTGGTCCCCCATTGAATAGGGAACAAGCCATCCTCACAATCTCTGCCTCTATCTTCCGGAGTCCGGGGAAGATATCTGGATGCAGTGGATTACTCCATGCAAAATCTCCATAAGCCTATGGAGAAAGGCAAGCACATGTGGAGACGCTTACATCATACAGGACAAAGAATCAGGCAAACCATGTTAGATACAACAGGAACTGGGAAAATGGAAGATATGTCCTCCAGTCTAAAGAAGACCAAAATGTTGTAGTGGAAGAGACAGGCATAAAAATTATTTTACAAAGGGGTAACAGAGGAAGTATAAATGTGGTTAAAAGCACTGACTAAAACACCCTACAGACCCAGTTTGAAATTTTAGCTTTATCTGTCACTTCTAGCTGTGTAATCTTAGTAAATAACCTCACTGAGGCTGTTTCCCCATATGTTAAAGAGGATAATCACAGTACACAGCTGACGGGGTTCTAGCCATAAGTAAGAGAACACATGCAAAGCACTTAGTTGAGTGTGTGGCACAACTGTTTTCAGTGTGATACCAGATGCATATGTGTACATGAAAGTAAGGGGCCTCAAAGAGGGAGTAGCGAACATTGAGTGGTCTGGTGGTGTCTGTTGAGTGGAACCTTGAGCAGTGAATAGGAATTCATCATTAAGAACAGGTAGCAAGAACGAGGGAAAAGAAAACAACAAAGGAGCAAGGTATTCAGTAAACAGAAAAAGCAGGAGTTAGTGTTCATGTGGGAAAATAACAGGAATGGTTGAAAAAAATAGGTGGGATCTGGCTCATGAAGGGACTGGTATTTTTGGTTGCATAAGCAGCTTAGGATTTGTTCTGTAGACAATGGGAAGTCACTGAAAGATTGTTAAGCACAGGAAGTATGGTCAGGGTATTATGTCAAAATACAGCTGAGTAAAACATGTATGTAGTATGTAGTAAGGTATGCACAGTTTCATAGTTCTAATAATCAAACACAAAGACCTTAGAAAGCAATAGTCCAATTTCAATTTTGTATGACAAAGTGAGATTGAAAAAATAAATCTGATTAGAAATGGAAGAAGCTAAAGCAATTCTACAGTCAACAAAAAAATATGAGAATTATGTGAATTATAACTGAGACCACTGGCTCATTTTCAGATTCTGTGATTTGAGACTCAAGGGGTGCAGGAAATCATGACCAAGTTTCCATCCCTTATCTCTTCTGATCCAATAAAATATATCTTATCATTAATAATCGCAAATGATAGACTACCTTCCCTAGCAATCTGCTTTCTACACAAGGTGTCTATTAAGCCTGGAGACATAAGTAACATCTTACTCTTTTAAAGACTGAAGATGTCTTGGACAATGTTATGCATATTTGTCTATGTTTGGGTAAGAGACACTGAACCTCTTTAGTTTTAACAATAAACTTTCCTTAAGTAATTTTTTTTTCATTACAAGAATAAAGAGAAAAAGAAGTGATCATCTAAACCAGCAGAGCCGCACACTCCTTTCAAGGACTAGGCACTTGCTCACCTTCACGAGGAGGTTGGTGAGCTCCTCCTCCCCGCTATACACTGCTCCGGAGGCTTTCCCCTCTTGCCACAAGACATCTGCAAAGAAAGGGCAAACCACTGGATCAGTAAGCAGGAGCCTCTGGGGAGACAGGTTCTAAAGAAGAAACAGGGAGAAACTCTTCTGCGTACAAAAGAGCTGGAGCGGAAACTCCAAGGCGTCCTTACATTAAATCAAGAAAAAGAGCTTTAGTAGAGTGTCACAGCAAAATAAAGATCAAAGGTCAACCACTACCATCAACAACAGTGTGAAAAAGGTAGCAACAGCATCTAGGTACAATAAAGAGAGTCCACTAGTAATGTCATCATCCCCAACTGGCTTCTAACAGCAGAACCACCTCCTCTATCTACACTCGTTTTCTGTTCTCTGTATGGCTCCGCTTGACATTTTTCTGCAGTGGCTTCCACCTTCTCTCCCTTTCTAGCCAGTCAAACGAAGTGTGGAAACTGCATGAGCAGAGTTAGCAGAAAAGAGTAAGGCAAAGTGCAAAATTTCAGCACAATATCACCAGACCCAGAGTCAGGGAACTGAATCTCTGACTGGACAAACCATGGTGAGATGTGAGCCATCAGCATCGTCCTCAGACAAGCCTGGAAACCCATACAGAGTTAGCCACCTGCTTCCGGCAACATCTGCCTCAGCACTCAGCGTCAGGAACACAGCCAGCACTGGGAGAAGGATCAGAGGAAAGGATCCTGACCAGGATGTAAGGTACGACCTTCCACTTTTCTCTGAGGTGCTCCCCCAGAGACACTCCACAATACCAACAAATCCATTCATGTGGGGGTCTCGGGTCCTTTAAGACAACATGCCTGTGCCCTATTGAAAGTGGCTAGTGAGAATTACAGAAGCACTCAAACTGAAAACTGCTGCCATGCTTCTCACAAAGCCAAGGTCTGCGGCTCCAGTGAGAGCAGAAGACTGAGCAGTGACTATCGAGACAAACCCTCATTCTTATGTGACCTGCCAGCTCTGGCCTGTGGCCAAGCAGACTTTGTCCTCAGAGGGACTGGTCTGTATCAGGCACTTCTTCAGACCAGAGGTCACCTACATTTCAAAAGCAGGGTGTGTGCTTTCATTTCCTGTTCTTTTACTGCAGCTGCAGAGCAATGGCGATGGACAGCGACTTAGAAATGGAAGGGAAGCAGATATGAGGCAGCCAACCCATCACTCATAATCATAGAGATCGTTAATCTACAGGTCTCAGAATGCTAATCCCTGTTTTATATCAAGTATAAATCCTGGACTGTATCTAGTTTTGTATCATCTGATCAAAAATATCATAAAAAATTCAACACATGTCAATTAGAACTTTTAAAACACAGTATGGTACCCTGGATCCTAGAACAGGAGAAAGGACATTATAGAAACCCTGGTGAAATAGGAATAGAATCTGTGGTTGAGGTAACAGCACTGTACCAATGTTAATTTTTTTTTAGTTTTAACAAATGTACCCAGCTTATTTTAGATGTTAACATCAGGAGAAGCTGAGTGAGGGGTTTGTGGGAAATCTCTGTTATTATCTTTGCAAACTTTCTATAAATCTAAAAAATTATGCCAAATGAAAAAGCCTATGTTTAAGTTATTTGTAATATAATCCTAATTTGTAACAAACATGTTTGCATTAATAATAGTTAACATTTATTGACATTTATTGAATACCTATTATAAGCCTGGTGCTATATGCTTATATGTATGATCTCATTTAATCTCTACAATTATCCTTTCAGATAAGTACTACTATTATTATCCTCATTGTAGAGAGACAGATACAGAGGCATAGAGAAGTGAAGTAACTTACCTGAGGTCATCCTGTTAAGTGGCTGAACCAGATGTGAGCCAAGGCTGAGTCCATGGGCTGTGCTCTTAACACTAGGCTGCTGAGTGCATTTATCCTTCCTACATGCATACATGTACATGTGTGGGCTTATTACACAAAATACCATTAACATTTTGAGATATATATATATAAAATCTGTTTGTCTTTTGAGGATGAAATTACACTGACTTGTTATTTCTTCTGTGCCTCTAGACAGATTCTAAAATTTCTAAAATGAATCTCTATTTCAGTCTTATCACATATTTTGTCTTTCCAAAAGACAAATCTATTTTATTCAGGCTTAGAAAAGAAAATGGAACCAAGTTCCATCTTCTCTGAGATCTGCTTGCTTTATAGGTGAAGAGTGAATCTAAATATAATTTTTAAAAGATGAAATTCAGCCTTTGAGACAGGAGGTGGGCCCTCCTGAACACAGAAGCACCAGGGATGAACTCTACTTAACCTCTATAAACATCCAATGATGAGCGAGTGACCAGCCACATTAAGGAAGTAGGGAGCATGCATTTGCTGAGAATCGTACCCTTAGAGCTGTATTCTTTGAGCTTCTCTAGAACTGCAGCCGGGCTCAGACCTTGAGAGGGCAGGGCTTTCACGTAATCTTGGTCCACTTTCAGGAATGACATGTTCTTGCTAATATCTTCCTTGGTCTTGTTCAACTTATCTTGGATCTCCAAAGGTAAGGAAGACAAAGTTAACAGGGAGACAGGAGAATACAGTACTGAGAATGAAGAACCAGTTACATCACCAAACCAACTGCTTGATGCCAGGTACTGCACAAGTGCTTGAGAGCAAGGACGGTACTTTTTCTTAAAGAGATACGCTGACATTTTGACCCTTCAGCTGTTACCTCACCTGGGCAGCAGTCTCTTAGAAGTCTGAAAAGTCAATTTTCTCTCCAAAGGTCAGAGATACACTCAGTTCCCCACCCCACCCCGTCCCTTTCCTTTGTCATGTTGTGATCACCAATGCTTTGCTTGGTGTGCATCTGCTGAAGTCAGCACCTCTCTGGGCACCAGTCGGACCTTGTTCGTGCCTTGGCAGCAGCTACAATGTATGCAACCGAAGAAGCCAAGGCAGAACCACAGACGGCAGCCAGAAAGCAGGCCAAGCGGCAGTGAAACAGAGTCCCGTGCTCCTCACCAGGCACGCTCAAGGACCCACCAGGAACTGGAGGCTTTGCAAGAATCCCCACCGGAAGAGTAAGGAAGACATGCCGGGAAAAGCCAGGGAGGCGGCCCCTGTCTCCTCAGGCTGACAGCTCGCCCTGCCCACTCTCCAGTGCTAGGAGGCACTAAGGTCCTTTCTGCCACATAATTTATCAACTATGGTTATTTCGTTTCCATCCTCTTCAGACATGTTCTTCCATTCCTTCACTTAGTAAACACTTGTTGAACTATGCAACAGGGATACACAGTGGGCCAGGGATACACAGGGGAAAAACAAACTTAGGCAGTACACAGCTTAGGTGGGGCGGGGCTAAGTCCTGTCCTGAAGCTTATCTTTAAGCATCACAGTCAGAAAATAAAGGTCATGAAAAGTGCTAGGGTTAGGGGCTAGGGGAGGAACAGAGCAGACAGGAAGAATACAGCAGAGGCTGCTGTTTGTAATGAGACACTCTTGGTTTGTAGATTTAGGGAAGAGTGGCTACACATTATGATTTGTGTTACAGTGACATGGTTTCAGCAATATGTCTGTTAAAGTTTTATGTCTCATTCCAAACATTTAGGTTGTCTCATCTCTAGCAGTGGATGATTAGAATCCAAGATGGTCTTCTTAGATGTGGCCCTCAATAAAACCAGAGGGAAAGCCACTCCTTTAGAACATGTCTGCAACAGTCTATCAGGCAGGCACTGGCAGGAAGAACAGGGCACACTCCTGGACAATGCCAGGGCAGCATGTGATGGACATGAAGCTATTTTTTAGATTTAAATAAAGAATTGTGCTGCATAAGTGTAACCAGAACTATGAAAGCTGGGCTTCCATGCACAGATGATGCTACTGTAATAAAACAGACAAAAATGACCATCAGAGGCATATCAGAAAGCACAGCAAGCACTTCCTCACATCACCTCATCAATTCTTGCCTCAGAAGCTCCACTGCATTTTAATTTCTTCACAGCATTTACCTCAAAGGGAAATTCATATGTGTTTGCTTCCTTATTCATTTTGTCTTTCCTTAGTACTGAAATGTAGATTCCATGTGGGAAGGGCATGGCCTCCCAAGTGGTCCTGCACTATGTCCCCAGCACCCAGAATGGTACCTAACGCTGAGCAATGCTCAACGAATGAGGGAGGGATACACACACTCACTCAGAACAAGTAACTTTCGTCTCTGCACCTCAAATCTGCATCTGAAAGGTGAAAGGTGATTATACATTTTCTAAGTACCTTCCAATGCTGTTGTATTTACCCAATAACACAATGGAATAGTATCTTCCAATGCTGATATATAAATTTAATGGGTTCTGGAACCCCAACATTCATTTGTTATCAGAATTAGAAATGGAAGGAGCAAAGTGTAACGAATAAGGGCAGGGAAAAAATACAGGAAATGATAAGGGGAAACACTCTTTTCCCCTGTAATCAGCCTATCCTCGGTATCCTTCCTCTCCCCTGCTCTTTGTTCTCTAAGGACTACAGTAGATTAACTTTAGGGCTTAATATGATTGAGGGTCAAATAAAAGCCCTCATTTCTCTCCTTCACCAGCCGTTATTACTTCCACTTCCCCACAGGAAATGAACCTAAAAATACAAAGTTCTGGAAGAGTTCACACAGTGGTCTGAACGGACATTCAGTCAAAGGCTGGAAGTAACTGCCATCTTTTCTGATTTTGGCCAAAGAAGGGGGAAAGAACTGAAAGCCAAAATGAAAGAAAGCTTGCAGGAAAGCTGAGGGGGAGGGTGAGAAGCAGGGGAGATGAAGCCATCAGGGCCATGTGCCTTCGTTAGAGCCTGCAGTGGGGCCGGCCCTGTTTGTCTTCATCTGTGATAAAGAACCGGGGGGAAGGTAGAGGCGACTGTCTCATCCTGAGCGTGGGTGAGGTCAGAGAGGAGCCAGTGAAGGGAACAGACTAGACTACAGATATGAACAAAGAGCAAGAGAACAGCTCTGCTCTCTAGGTTTCTGAACCTGGGATCAGCAAACTACAGGCCTAATCAAACTACAGGCCGAGTGTGGACTATGGCTATGAAGAGATTCTTGCTGCAAAAAGGCCCACTCCTCCACCCACTGTTCTACTGCTGCTTTCCCTCCACAGGGACAGAGCTGAAAATGCTTCACATCCAGCCCATGACAGAGAAAGCCTGCCAACCCTGAACCATGTAAGCACTCAATCCCTGCTAAGCATCTAAATTCAGCTCAGCCAAATATTGCTCCGCTTCCCTCACAGCTCAGTTGGTAAAGCATCTGCCTGCAATGCAGGAGACCCGGGTTCAATTCCTGGGTCGGGAGGATCCCCTGGAGAAGGAACTGGCAACCCACTCCATCATTCTTGCCTAGAGAATCCCCATGGACAGAGGAGCCTGGCAGGCTACAGTCCATGGCGTCGCAAAAGTTGGACACGACTCAGCGCCTAAACCGCCACCACCAAATATTTTTCCAAAGTTTCCTGTCACTTCTGTCAGGTTGTCTAATTTCAAATTTTCCCTGAACAGACATCTCCTTTCTCCTTTGGTCAAATATGGTGGAGAAAGAGTGACGTCACGCTTCTCAGTCGTGGCACTTCTGGCGTTCTGAGTCTGACGTGTCTCCACTGCGTGGCCTGCCCTGCACACTGGAGGATGTTTAGCAGCATCCCTCATCCCGTCCATTCAATGCCCAGAGCACCCACCTCCTCTTCTGATATCCAAAAATGTCTCCAGACATGCTCAAACGTTTCTTGGAGGTGGGGGACAAAACGCACCCATCCCCCTTGAACTCCTAGCTTTAGTAATTAGAAATAAAGAGATGTGATGATCATGGGGGAGGGAAGCAGTAGGGAAAAGTGAAATGACTCTGCTTACCTGACGACCAATGATAGGCATCTTCCGGATAAGCTTAAAACATCTCTTCTTAAACCTTGACCATAAACCTAAAAGAAACAAATGGTTCTATTGAAATTCCCATGGATTATGACCTGACAGTCATAATGGATGAACTATTCAATATTCAACATGTCCTCTGTAATCACACTTGCCTTCAGATTACAAAGGTAGTTTCTTTAAAAAAAAAAAAAAAAAACTTTTAATTTTTGAACAAGTAATATATTATAACATGGTTCAAAAAAATAAACACACACACACACACACTCATCTATCCCCCAGACCCTCATCCTACCCCCAGGTTATACTACTACCACTAGTTTCTAGATACCCTTCTAGAGTTTCTGTATACATACACAACCAAGAGTGAAGACACGTTCTTGTCTGTCTCTTTTACACAATGGGTAGCATACTCCAGCACTGGACTAGACCTGTTCTACTCAGCATCAGTCTTTTAAAGACCAGTGCTCCCTAATGCATTCTTACAACTGTAGAGTATTCCACTAGATGGACGTACCTTGGTTTATTTAACCTGCCCTTTCCTGATGGAAACTTAGGTTGTTTCTGATGTCTGTTACAAACCACGCTGAAATAGCTTAGCCTTGTAACACATGCTGTACTGCATACTTGAGAACGTACCTACAGGTAAGTTTCCAGAAACAGAACTGCTGGCCCAAGTGTACCGCAGAGTTCCTCACCTTCCCAAGGTTTCTAGGTGCCCAACATTTCTCTCCCCTGCCTCAAAACAAATGACCAACCCATGCATCTTCTCAGAATCTGTGCTCTAGTCTCTCATTCAACACATATCCCAAAAACATTTTCTGGACCTAAAAAGGCTTTCAGATATCATGGACATCAATCAGACATTCTGTTGGGCAGTACATAGGACAAATCTCAAATTCTGATCCTGTAAATTACAATTATTATAAATACATGGCAACTAAACACACAGTCATGCCTTTTAATGAATTCACATTCAGTGTATCTCAACTGACTCCAACAGCAAGATTTTGAGGCTGGCATAGAAGGCACTACCTACTATCCAAGGGCAGCTGAGGATCAAAGCATTAATAACTTGCTCAAGACCGAGGATCATATCAGTGATGGGGCAAGGATTTAACTGAAGTCTGTTTTTCTAGTTCTAGACTCCCAGGACTGTATACTGCTTCACATACACAACAGAATTTTCAGTTACCCCAAATGAGTTTCAAAGGAATCTAGACCTAAGCTTTCTGCAAGGATACAAGGCATGAACTGAATGAACTTTGCCGCTGTCTTAGGAGATCTGGGTATTCCAATTTCCTTGCCCAGAAGTAGCTTTCAACAGCCAAAGAAAATGTCTGCACCATCTACAGGTATTTATTAAATGATGCTATGCATCTTTACTAGTAGTTTTTGCCTAGGTTGCATCCCTAAGGGCCTAGCACTGAGGTTAACACTCTGTAAATGTCTGGGACAAAACCAGGTATCTAAGACACAGGCTGACTAAGACAAACAGCTGAAACCAGTTACTTGTTGCTTAAATTTTAGAGTATTTCCTTTCAGTCCTGAAATCTTACGGTACACAGAATATTGTATTCTCTTCTCATTTACAGTATTTCTACATTATTAAAAATTTTTCCAAAGTGTATTTTTAAATGTCACCACAACAATCCACCAAATGAGTAGCATTTAGTGTTAGATGGTTCAGCTGCTTGTTATTTGATTATTTCTAACAGTGTTAAAGCTGTAAAGATTCAGAACTATTCCCTATTTTAATGGATGAAGCAATTAATTAATGAGGTAGAAAGAAATCTAAAAATCAGCAAGCTGAATCAGGTGTCTGAAAGTACATTAATGTGACTGGGTGGAGGAGAACACATAATTTTGTGAAATCTGTGAGATAACATGGTACAGAGTAAAAAGAACAGAATACAGACCAGAGACAGGGAAATTAGGAATGAAAAGACCATGTGGTCAAGACCTAAAAAGATTATCTCCAAAGTGAAAGTCAAGAATTGGGAGAGTGGGACTAACAGGAGGTACACTACCATGTACAGAACAGGTAACTAATGAGAACCAACTGTGTAGCTCAGGGAGCTCGAACACAGAGCTCCGTGTGACCTGAATGGGAAGGAAACCAGAACAAACGTGTACACGGATAGCTGATTCACTTTGCTGGGCTGCGGCAAGTGACACGACATTGTAAAGCAACTACACTGATGAGTTAATTTCTTTAAAAAGTAAAAGTCCCCAGACGTCCAGAAAGAAGAGTAACGAGAAAGTTTTAAGGTGGTAAAGTAGGAAATGCCAATGTAAGAACAACAACGCATGCCTCTTTTTAGTTTACAAATCCCTTTCACACCAGCGATCCCACTCGAGCCTCACAGCACTCTCTGACTGGGTAAAGCCGTATGAGTGTGCCCATTTCACTGCGAGGAAACAGGCTAACAGGTTTAAGGGCACTGCCCAAGGTGCCATGGCTAGAAACCTCCTCCCACCACAGAACTCTGATTTCTACTGATGAACTACAGACAATCCCAGAGGTAAAACCAACATCAATGAGGAAGGATGTAAGCTGAAAACCACAGAGGAGAAGTAAAAAAGAGATCACACCTTAGAAGACTGCCAACCCTGCCCTACGCTCCTGCCGCGTCCAGTTCTTATCTACCTATGTCCATCCTGTGTTCCACAATTACCCTCTCCCCCTCAGAAGGGTACCCAGAATTTGAAGATCAGCAAAATTTATCACTAGTCGGACTTTAGACTCCTCTAGGGCAATATACCAAAAGGAACTCAATGCTCACTAATATACAGAATACTTCTACGTGAGCAAGGTGCTGAAAAAATTGGAAATTCTATCAAATACCTGATCTCTGGAGGGAAGACATTTCTGTGTCTAAAGTTCAAGTTGGAAGTTATAAAATAAAAAGTGTGTTGTGTATTTAAGCAGTATGAAATTGCCAATATTCAGCAATTTTCGAACTACAAAATTAATTTTGTATGATTCAGATATAGAAAGAGATGGGTGCGTGCATGACCAGTTGCTCAGTCGTGTCCAACTATTGGCAACCCCATGAACTGGAGCCTGCAGGCTTTTCTGTCCATGGAATTTTCCAGGCAAGAATACTGGAGCAGGCTGCCATTTCCTACTCCAGAGGATCTTCCCAACCCAGGGATCGAACCCACATCTCCTGTGTCTTCTGTATTAGCAGGCAGATTCTTTACCACTGAGCCACCTGGGAAGCCACAGACACACAGATACATAAACAGTGGTTATCTCTAGGTAACAAGATTTTAATTTTATTCTTATGGTTTACCATATTGCCTGATTTTATACAATGAAAATGTACTGCTTTTATAGTAAGAAAAAATGTTACTAAAACCATGCAGTGGCTTGGAGTTCATGAAGATTTAGATGGCACATACCATTAACACACTGCTAGTATTAGTTTTCTCATGGCGTACTCAGAGCTAGCACATTCATTTCTGAACACTAAAGGCAGGTAAGTTATGTACCAGGACCTCAGATGGCTGAGCTTCTACTATGGGTTAAACAAAACGGACACAGGCACCGTGGGCTGAACAATAGGAAATACAAGTAAATACCTAAAGCTAATACCCAGCATACTGAGGAAATATAAGCCTCAAGGTCTCTGACCGTAGTTCAGATTTACGAAATGTGCCACTTTAAAAGGAAAAAGCACACAGAATGGTGAATGCCAGGAGCTGAGGAGAGAAAGTAGTGGGAAGTTCAAGTTTCATGGGCACAGAGCCTATGAGAAAGGTCTAGAGATGGATGGTGGTGATGGCTCCATAACAATGTGAATGTTCTTAATGTCACAACTTTCCACTTAAAAATGGGTAAAATGATACATTTTATGTTCTGTATATTTCATCACAATAAAAAAAAGCAAGAACTGCTACTCCTTAGAACCCTCTGGAATCAGACAGGATGGTAGGCGGCACTGAATCAAATGCTTCCCAGGAAAGGAATGAGCCTGAGCAGAAGGACAAGGGCTGCATCTGTTTCCAAACCAGGAGGAAATGAAGCACAAGGGTTAGTCTGTCCAATCTGTCATGAATTTATGAGAAAGTCTTGCAAGCACTAGGAGCAGAAACTGAGGACATTTCATCTCTACTTTAAGTGCAATGCTAACTCTGCTATAACTTGGCAATGTGGCAGAGTGTTACCAGATGGCTGGCTAATCTTCATGGTAAAGGGATAAAACAGAATCTGGCCTCTAAGCTGACTTTCCTAGGGGAATAAGAAAAAAAGAAGAAAAAAATATCAGTTGAAGAGCCCCTTCAAATAGATGTTATCAGGGAAGCAAATAGTTAACAGAAATTTTAAACAGATGAGAAATGACAAGCAAGTCTCATCAATGTTACTAACTCAGATACCCTAGTATGGGTGAGGAAGGGGTGCAGGGGTGTGTACAGAACACCCAGCACCTCTCCTATCATTGACTTACCCAACACAGCCCACAGGGGAAGAATTTGTAAGCAGGTAACACACAACCAGGTGGTGGGGTGAGGGTGGGGGTACAGGGAACATGAGCAGGGTCTTAGGAAGGATGGAAGATGGACAAACTGATCACTAAAAAACCTCTCAGTTTCCACACTCCCTGAGGAGTGGCCTTCTCGTCCCATCAGTCTGGCTCCCGGAGTCCCTACCCAGGAAGCTCAAAGTGTGCTGTCTCCTGACAGCAGAGCTTCAATTCCAAGAGGACAGGGACCCTCTATTACTTGTACTGTACAGCTATCTCTAGAGCATGGCAGTGCCTAACACACAGCAGACAGGCCAGTGGTCACTGCATGGGTGCTATTCCAATTTCACATAATCTTTACTGAAAAGACAGCCTACAATGAAAGCAATAAATCCATGCTTGGAGGACGCCGGGTGACACAATTATGTTTTAGGCAAGAAAGTAAAAGTGAAGAGGGTCTGAGCCACACTCTGTGAATCCTTACGATAACTAATCTCTGAGGGGTTTTAATGTAAACTGCCAATCCAGAAAAATCAACATAGACAGTTACAGTCACACAAGAGTCCTATTAAAACTTTACCAGTCAGAAGGCAATGCCCCTTCTATCTAAACAGATTTTAAAATTCAGAACCAAACCAACCAGGCAAGAAGTCAGCCCAGTCCATTAGCCCCGAGTTCCAAAGCCGGTGTTAAGGCCACTGTACCTTTACAGAGGGGGGCAGTGTACTTACTCTCTGGCTGGAAGACAAACTCATAGACCCAGACTATCAGCAGAGTCCACGCAACACTCCATGCAATCAGCTGCCAGGGCTCGTATTTGGTGCAGTGGCCGTTCACGTAGTTCTTGGCCTTTGTGGAATATACTTCCAAAATCTCGAAGTAGGGCTCAAAGGCCTTCTAGAAATACAAAAGAAAAAATATATATATTACTTTCAGAGAGAAAGGAAGTCTGTTCTTAGTTTGTTCTTCAGCCCTTTTTTTCAAGGGCAAGGCCATTCATGATGTGGCCCTACCCCAGCAGTAATCTTATCATCCTCTAAAGTCCGCAAAGCTTCTGCTCCAGGAACTACAGCGGACACTGCCCCTTAACAGGCATGTGGACTTTGACAGAGTTTTTGATCCTCTGTCTGTAAAATAAAAGGTTAAGCTGGGTCATCATTTCAGCTCTAAAGCTTCTAGAAGACTGCAGGATTTACTGTCCTACTATCTTTTTTTGTTGGCTGCACTGGGTCGCTGCAGTGGCACAGGCTTTCTCCAGTTGTGGCACACGGTCTTAATTGCCCCACGGAATGTGATATCTTAGTTCCCTGACCAGGGACTGAATCCACATTCCCTGCATAGGAAGGTGGATTCTTAACCACTGGACCACCAGGGAAGTGCCCATCCCATTATCTTAACTCAAACTAATCCTCTCAATATGTCTTTTTCTTCTTCTCTTCTTTATCTGAATCTTTCCCAATCTTTAACCCAAAAGGCAAACAGACAACTTAATGGAAAAGTCCCCGATGCTGGGAAAGATTGAGGGCAGAAGGAGAAGAGGACATCAGAGGATGAGACGGCTGGATGGCATCACCGATGAAATGAACATGAACCTGGGCAAACTCCAGGAGACGGTGAAGGACAGGAAGGCCTGACATGCTGCAGTCCATGGCGTTGCAAAAAGTCAGACACGACTGGGCAACTGAACAACAACAACACAACCCAAAAGGCAGCAGACTACTTCCGTAAAAGGCCACAGGGTAAATATTTTAGGTACTACGGGCCAAACAGTCTGTGTCACAACTACTCCGCTCTGCGGCCGCAGCAAACGCAGCCGCAAGACAGAGGGTGAAGACTTGAAGGGAGTCGTGTTCCAACAAAATTTAATTCCAGATGCTAACACTTGAATTTCATGTAATTTCACAATCACAAAATACTCTTTTTGTAAAAACAATTGCAAAATTAAAGCATCATTCTTAGCTCACAGGCTATACAAAAACACGCAGCAGGCAAGGTTTGGCCCATAGGCCATAGTCCATCCCTCTCTGCTCTAAGGCCCCATTTGACAAAAACTCTTAAGGCAAGGAACTGTATCTTACGATGTGAATCACTCACAACAGCTAGCACAAGCAAGAAAAAAACCCTCTCCTCTGAAAAGTCACCAGAATACCCAACTCATGACAGTAAATCTCTTGTCAAGCATTCAGTTGTGCCTCAACACAGAGCTTATGACAATGTGTAGTGCAGTCGCCTCGGTCTCCCTGCACAGTTGGGTCCCGGAAGACTGACCAGATCCCAGTCACATTCACAAGGCCCCTGAGTGCCCCAGACAAAATAAGTTCATCTTTAGTTTTCCATTCATTCCCTTTCTCAACATTTATGAAGGTTCTCCAGTGTTTAAGGCATTAAGCTGGGGGAACATCAAGGTAAATGGTGTAAGTTCTTGCCCTTACTGAGCTTACAATCTAATGAGAGGCCCATACATACACACGCAGACACACATGGGCACACACATATATAAGTGAGTAATCAGAACTATTCAGGATAAACACTATAAAAAGAATGCTAAGAGAAATCACTAAAAAAGGCCTACCTACCTCTACCTGTGGGGAGATGAAGAACACAAGACAGAGGATAAAATCTAGAGAATGACCAAAGAAAAGTCTCTAGGCAGAAAAAAAAAAAAAAACTCATACCCAGAAGAGAGAATAACAGCTGCAAATGCATAAAGGAGTCTGGGAATGGCAGAAAGCTCTGTGCAGTAAGAGCACACACACGATGAGGGCAGAGACCGTATTCTGTCTTCTCCAGAATTCATCCTCAACACATAGCATGGTGCCCGGCAGACAGTCTGTACTGAACAAAGGCTTGGACAGTGGCTGACAGAGACCAAGTCAATGAGGGAGCACATTAAGTTACAAGAGAACCGAGGCTAGGAGAAGTACACTAGGTCCAGATTTAAATTGGTCTTTAAAAAAAAAAAAAAGCACAGAGACTGGAAGTATAAATTGACAGGTACTTTTGTAAGTGATTTGTCAGTATCTATTAACATTTTAAATGTACATTCATTTTGACTCAGTAATTCCAATTTTTGGTATCTACCTGTTTGTATCTATGTGCATTTTCAAGAACATACACTTTGTGACAGCAAAAGAAAAATATATAAACAAACATAAACATCTACTGATAGAGAAATGGTTAAATAAATTATAATATATACATTTTATATACCCATTCTTAGCAGCATTAAAAAGAAGACAGATTCAAATGAACCACAATGAAAATTTTCCAGAACACAGTGTAGAGTTTAAGAAAAAAGCAAACTGAAGAACAAATAAAAACAAAACAAAATGCCTGGGTTACTAATCAAGAGAGCAATTTTTTTTAAGATAACTTCATGGGAAAGGAATAGAAACAGGACAGAGATTAGAGACAAAAAATTTTAGTTAAGAGGACTGCTGAAATAGTCCAAAACAGAAATAAACTGGGTTTGACCTTAAGAGCTATATATCGGGGTCAAAAAAACAGCACAATTTGAAAAATAATTTTAGAGGCAGAACAAACAGGGTTTGGTGACTTATTAGACATAGGAAGTGCGGAGATAATTCCAGATTCTCAAATTCATGTTTGAGAGACTGGGTAAGCAGTGACAGCATTAACTGTGGTAGAAAAGAGGGAGGGGAGCTGAAGATGGTGGAGGAGACTGTGAGAAAAAGACAATGCTGCTGGCTTGCTTTCCTGTTGGCAATCTACACGCCATGTTCTAGCAGTAGCGTGAAAGCTTAGAAGGAAGATGCGTAGTTCAACTAATGTTTGCTGAAAACATTTATGCCCTTAGCAATTAGGCTATGGTATACAGTAATTAGCACTGGGAAAGTCCTGGGTCCCCAGAGGGCTATCCATGGAAACACAGCTTATCTGCAACCCCCTCCCCACAGTTCCTGGTGGCCATTCCCGAGAGCCCACTGTTGCTATCAACAATCAACCCCGCACAGCAGTGGCGGTGCTGGCTGAGACCTGAGAAAGATCAGAGGAGTCTACCATCATGGAAGGTATGTCACAGTTTCGATTATTACAGAGCATCTTCTAGTATTAGAGCTGTCATAAAGCCAAATGGTTAAATAGTGTGCACGAATGGGACGACAGGAGAACCATCATTCCAGCTTTTCGGATCACTTTTTCCTCTGGTGATTCTAGTTCCTAGTTCACCCATAAAATAAGAGTTTACCAATGTCAGACGGTAACTGTGGATGTTATCACAGCACTGACTGAACAAAAAAGTAACATAACTAATATTAGGGAAAGAGCAAAGGATCAACAAATGCAGACTATTAATAATTCCATCGTTAAAACCCTATTAAAATACAAAGGCATTCCTTGCTAACATTTACAAAATTATAATCAGCAGAAGTATATTTTCTTTGTAATTGCTCTGAGAAGATAATGGGAATCCATAAATTTGAAGTCTCTGACATCTCCTTAAGCACAGAGAAACACCTCTTAAGGAGATGTATTTCTATATTCTCATATTCCAATGATAGAAAGCTACTGTACTTGGACGGGTCCTAGCAAGTTTTCTGAATAGGTAACTAGTTGCTCACAGAAATTACACCTCCTGGCCTCATTCCAAGGTCCTTTTAGGTCACCACAAACAACCTAGGCTCAGTCCTCAATGAAGAAGCCCCTCACAACACTGACAGCTTGCTGCCTGAAAGGGCTCTGTGGGATAATGTTTGCCATCTCCTTGGAAAAGAGGAGGAGGCAGTTCCTAGGGACCTTGCCAACAGCACCAACCCCAGGCTGGATTCTGATGCAATAAACCAGCCCTGGGGGAGTATGCAATCTAAATGCTGAAGAGAACTTTAGAGACCAAACTCACGTTTTCATTTTATAGATGCCTTGAAGTGAAATGGGGTACCTAAGCTCATCCGGATGGACTTGAGTTAGAGCAGAGGCTAGGAAACCAGTCCTCTTTCAATCCTTCATCCTCAGCATCACAGGCAGAGAAGGACTAAACACATCACAATCCAGTGCCATTCCAAGGATTTTCTTTCCACAATTTATGCTCTGGGTAGAATATACCTTGGATATATGGTAACACACAACTACAGAGGCTTCTGTTTATTCCAGCTTAATCTCTACACTGTGTCTCTGGAAATACAAGAGCTATGAATGGTCATCTACGAGGCCACTAGCTTATTGTACAACTCCAGGAAAATTACTTCACCTGTCTGTGACTCTATTTCTTTATCTAGAAGGGACACAGAATATTCACTAAATAGTGTCTGTGTGTATGCGTCTGTGGGTGAGTGTGGGTGTGATCTATTAAGCAAGGATCTTCTTGGTATTGGTGAAACTTTCACCAAAAAAGCATTCTCTCCTTCACACTTTGTTAGAAAACTGAAAATGTATTCTTGTAGAGGAAAAAACCAAAACACTTTGCCCAATGAGTGTATATAAAATGAGAGTAAAGGATACCATAAATCTTTTAAAAGTATAATATTAAAGGAAAAAAGATCAACTTTAGTGTGAAGATTCAAACATTAAGCACTTTAAGAAGCTGTCAAATAATGATAAAGCAACCAGACTTCCTCTTTTTCTTTATCCCATTTCCAATCTAAAGGTTTATTCAATAACCCTAACCATTATTAAACAAAAGGCAACTGCTGAAGTGTCTGGGAGCTTGGTAGCATTCTAATACTGAACTCTTTCACCTCCCATGTCATTTCAAGGGAGCAAGACACTTTCGTGAACACAACAGTAGCGGTCTACACTCAATCTAGTAAATTTGGGGCCTGTTACTTTTTGGACTGAGTTTCAAACTTTCCCAATGCAGTTCCACAGAAATGTATTTTACAACACAAACTAGCATATATAGCAACAGAAGATATAAAAACAAAACAAAAATTTCCAAAATA